ACAGCAAAGCGTCTCCGTGGTAGGTCCGTCTGTTGACTCCTCTAACATATGCATGGCAAAGTGCACAAGGCACTGAGACACAAGATGGCTAGACCATTAGGGCCCTTCCTGCTGTGTACTCTTATTTTTTCTTTCTGTTAAAGAACTGCACAGGTGTATCAACACACTCCCCAGCTAGAGAGCAGTGTTACACAGGGCTTCTCTTTTTGAATACATAAATGATATAAAAATATCATTGCAACAGCTTGAAAGAACACTCTTTTACTACAGTGCATCCTCAGCAGTGCCTATATCCTCAGCCATGACATCACCTGCTCACCTGAGTTGAGCCCAGCGACGCCACAGTATGACCTGAGGCTACCAGAGTGTGTGAAACTGTAACAGGAAACGCTGTCTTTCTATAATTAATGCATGATGTTTCCCCACCTCCGCACTCAGCCTCCAGGTCAGAGTGTGTAGGTGTGCGTTTGTGCGTTTGCATAGGACGACATTGCACATGTTTATTGGAACATAAACAGTGTCGTGATGCATAAATGTTGACGCCTATCATAATGAATGCTGAACGATGAATTAATACTGCAAGCAGAGTAAATAAGTTCAACATTATCTATTCCATCTTAATCATTTGTAGCATACAAGGACCTCATTTTTATTTTAAAAAATTACATAATTGGACCTGGATGATTTTAGCTCAGTCTAACAAATGTCTTTCTGAATTTATGACCCTTCTCCTTTATTAAAAAAACCCACAATATTCAGGCCATTTGTAATCATAGAACAGTATCAGAATATGCAGACATTATATGCAGTAACCTGTCTGGTAGAACTTTTAGTTTAACTTCTTAAAGTGTTAGACCTTAAATATTCTAATTTTTCTTATTCACATAGTCATAAAAACTACAAATCTTCATGTGGAAGGTTTTATTTCACAGTGGGGGATTTCTACACTGAAGTGCACAGTGCTCCTGTGTTTCAGCACTGACCTTTTAAACAGTCCAATTGCTTTAAGTCAAATATTTGCAAATGAATCTGTGCCGGCAAAATCCAAGGGGAACCCTTAATATTTGACTGGCTATCTCTCTATTACACTGATAGCAGTGTTTGAATTTACAGTTTTATCTATAGTGCCTCAAAGTGAGCAGTAGAAAAGAAACAATCTGCTCCTCATAGCTAATTCTATTTCAAGCAATTTATCTGACAAGTATGTTGTTGTTACTGAGGTAAATATAGATCCATCTCCAAATGACCTTTATATTAAAGGTATTAATAAAGTTACCTCCTTACAAGTTCTAGAAGTAGCCGGTCTCAGGCTGTAAAGCCACTGAGGCACAGTGAGGGCAGAGTAGGACAGTAGGACACACATTTATTACAGCAGAAGTGTAGCAGAAGTCACATTTGGGTTGAGGGTTCTGCATGAGTTGTAGGTGATGGTTTGTCTGTGCTTCCAGCACTTAGAGCAAAATACTGACATAATTTTCAGCCATTAGTAGCCTATCTGTGTAGGCATTCATGAATTTGCCTACATTTTAAAATCTCAATACACTTGCAAATCTGAATATAGATTTGGAGATTCTTTTACACATTTACAAATCTGATTATGCACACACAGATACAGTTACACAACTCTCTACAGACATTTGTAAAAGTTCTGTTGCAATAATAGCCCCATACTCATTTTTATTAATTCTGCAATGCTCTATATCACCACTAGGGTTGGGTACCGAAAGTTGGTGCTTATAGACCGTTTCAAACTGGACAACATAAACATTCTAAATGGGTCCCTTTGTATTTCCTGTTTGAATGTATGTTAATGCAGAAGCTGACAGGAAGTAAACAGGGACCAAAGTTGTTGCCCTAGCAACAGAATAGCAATGAAACGGTCCATATGGAACCAGTACCTAACCGATACCTACCGGACCAAAACAAAACGCACATTACGTTGCCTCCTTTCGATGCTATTTTTTTTTAATGTTATGTCTCCCTCTATTGGACGTTACACGTAACTGAATCATTCATTCATTTGTTCATTTGTTGAGTGTATATTATTATTTAAAGGCACGCTAAGCATCATTGGGCGTCACTTCTGTTTACGTTTAACAATGTTATCAAACACATCGGAGTTACTATTATTGTAATGTTAATTTGTTAAGTGTTTTTTATTATGTTTTAAAACTGTTAATAGAGTTCGTATACCTATTTATTTCTAAGTATTTCTAATTTGCCTCAGCAATAAATAAGTAAAAACATTGTTTATATTATAATTTAAAACTGTTAAACAAAATACTCACACGCTTCTGAAAGGGAGCCCATTTGCCCCACTTTTGAACCTCCATAAAAAAGTCAAATTTTGAGGTATCGGTTCAGGCACCGTTTAAGCACCGGTATCTGAAAAAACCCAAACGATACCTAACCCTAATCACCACTTTTGATGGTAGCAGATTAAGATCAGTCTGCACTGCTGGTGCTTGTTGACCTCAGTGAAGCCTTTGACACAACTGATCCAGCTACACTGATGAACAGGCTGATCCAGAGGGTCGGTGTTACATGCTTTGACTGATTGACGAATGAACATGCTGCATTCTTACTTTTTATTAACATGCTGTTGGCTTAAGGTGTAGCTGTGAAGTCCTGTTCTGCATTTACGTTCTCGCTGAAGGACACAGTATTGTTAACATACCACTTTATCGCTATGCTGATGATACTGTAGTTATATCTGTCTGTTGCTGACAATGCTAGGTTAAATGTTGTGTGACATATTTTGACACTCACAATTAATTTCTTCTGAACACAGGCATTTGTGACTTATTTTTGTCTGAATATAACTCAGAAAAGCTGTTTTTGCAGTCCAGGTTTCAAGATGCAAGATTTGAGTTTTATGATGACTTAAATCATATCTCTGTATTTTCTAAAAATACTGTAAATCAATATAAATGAAATATTATATAAAATTAACAGCAGAGCAGAGCTGTTCGTTAATATTTTTTTTTGCGCACAGCACTGTTGCCACAGAGGTTGATAGTTTTGTAGCACAGGCAAATGCATATGGGAAAAGCACCTGTGGTTGAAGCCACCGTTATTTAATGCCCAGTCTCGCAGCAAAATGTTTGCAGTGTTTGAAACTGCTGTTTTGAAATAGTTTAGTCCGTTTGTTTATTTTGTATTTATGTCACGAATGTACAGATGTTAATTGCATGGTAATATGCATGACAAACATATACTGGTTATGAGAATCATCCAATTATAGTCATCAATTTGACCCAGACATATGTGATTGCTTTAAGCGGTTTCCATTGTGTATCATTAAAATGGTGATATAATGCCCAGCCACTGGCTTGGCTGTTCCTCTTTAACTCTTTGCCAGGAACCTGGGAGTAATTTTTTTGTCTTTGCCTTACAGTATCTTCTGTAGTGCAGTCTTCAAATCCCACTTCTGTTAAGTCTTTTGGATCGACTCTAAGATCAGGCCTTTTCTCACTTGTCCTATTTAAGAAAAGGCTTTTTCATGCTTTCACACCCTCGAGGCTAGATTATTGCATGGTTGTGCTCCTCTCTGAGTCAGAGCAGCAGCAAAGCTTAGATTTACAGTAGAGACAATGATTGTTCAGAATCCAAATCAGTTACACCAGCCACATTCCTGATCTTCTACATCTTTACCAGTTTAGAAGAGATGTTTGCCTCTTCTGTAAAGGCTTATTGACACTGAAACATCTTGACTAAACCTTCAGGCCAGATTTGAAATCTTATCTTACATAAACATTGCAGACATTTTATTCACGGCCTTTAATTGAGTAAGTTGATCTGGAAATGGATTTAAATTATTATTAGTAGTAATACGTGGTACGGTTAGGTTGAATAACATTTTGATATTTCTGTGCAAACAGTTCACGCTCTCTTCTCTATCTCAGTCGGCACATAACAGCTTCCCCTGCTATTTGTTTGTCACCTCATAGATGCCCAGCTGAGAAACCATATGTGCAGAGGAATTATACTAGTGATGCTAATGGTGTAGACTAGGAGAAGAACGCAGATGGTGGTGTTTACTATTGACTTTGTGTCTGTTGTTTTTTTATTTGGATTTCTCAAAAGGCTCCCACTCAACCTTGATGGTTTCCTTTGTGATGGTTTGCCCCAGTTTATTTTATTTCCCTTCGGTTCGCCTGACTGTTGCTCCGTCAAAACCGACAGGTTTCATCTTGGCCTGCATTCAGCAAAGCTCAAGGGTTTCTCATTAAACAGGCACAGTCAGCATGTTCACTCCTCAGTCAAGGTCAAACAATTGGTAAAAGGGTCCTTTTGTTTTCAGATGTGTAAGCAGATGTCTCCACTGTGGTGTGCTCTTATCATTTTGAGGATGCCCTTTGAGCCATAAAGCAGCTGGTCTCCATTTACATATCAATCATATACAGTGGCAGAGGTAGAGGTTGTTTCTTATCTCTGATGTTGATTGTCGAAACTGACAGAACGTTTACAGGTCTTGATGTCGTTTTTAGGAAAGAAAGGTGTTAGGGATTGATAAACTTGGGCTGGTGCATGGTGGTGGATAGGCACTGTACGTTGAGTAGATCAGAATTTGGCCATGTGCGAGTGTGTTTGTGCATCCCATCAAAAGTGCTGCCTGTTTCCTGTGATTGATTATCATTGTATCTGCCTGTGTGGCTGTGTGTGTGTGTGTGTGTGTGTGTGTGTGTGTGTGTGTGTGTGTGTGTGTGTGTGTGTGTGTTTGTGGCTGCTTGACTTGGTCTTCATCACCTTCAGCCTTGCCTTGTACCTTGCAGTCCTATCACCTCCCTTCCTCTAACCTGTAGGCATTAACTGTGCGGAGACAGCGCCACGCTGTAGCTCAAGACGGACCTCAGCCTCCAGCATGCACAGTCCGGACCGACAGTGTCTTCTTCTTCTGCAGTAACTTTAAAATGAGCACAGAGTGACAACAAACAACCTCCCAGCCTTTACACAACATCAGCATCAATATTCAAGGGCTAACAGTTGGTGCCTTACTCTTTAGCATTAGCAACAGCAGCCGAGGTAACAGCTTTGGCAGCTTGGACAGTAGCATAGCCAATGGGTAAGCGAGTGTGTGTGTAACTTGGCCCATCAGTCTCTGGGGAGGACCAGCAAAGGAGTCGTGTTACACTCCCTGACAGACCTTATACATGTTTCATCTGCTGCTCTCAGAACAGAAGCCCCCTTTGTTATCTAATCCAGCCTTCTCCTCCCCAGCCTGAGAGACTGAGTTTACTGCCACAAGACTGCTCTTCACAGTCTGTCAGCCAACCACTGAGCTGATACATATCAACCAACAGCTGAGGAGCAGCAGAAGGACTTGGTCAGGCCAGAGATATCTGCTATTAGGACTTCTGAGCCAGTCTTTCAATCAGTTGGCTGGCAGGCAGACAGGGCATTAACATAAAGAACTGAGGGGGCTGTATGAGGTCCACCAAAGATTGTCAAGGATCTAAATTGTGCCTCATCTGTTCAGCACTAAACCTCAACTTTTTCTGTAGTTAACAGCCCTTCAAGCTGCGGAACTGCAGCATTTGCAATTCTTCTAACCAAGGATCTTAAAAAAAGTACTTTGGAGGATTTGCACTTCAGAAAGCTAGTCAGTACCATGAGTGACACTCTTAGACCCCCTTCGCTCCAGGTGAGCATCCCGAGCGATTCTCCGGCATACTCAGACGGAGGACGCAACGCAGTGTCAGATGGCTCCGTGCGATCCAGCTCCTCAACCCCGACTCTCCGGCGCAAGCGCTTCAAGATGCGGCGCATGAGGAACGTGCCGAGCGAGAGGGAGCTCGAAAGGGGGCGGCTAACCATCGGTCACCTCACAGCCCGATCCCGCTCCAGCTCCAAGGAGTACCTCCAGTTGCCTTCCATTGAGATCACACCATCCAGCGATGAAGATGCCCCCTCTTCCTGGTCCAGGTGCTCCACGCCAAGCGCCTCTCCGCGACGCAAGCGTTTCCTGTTGAGGAAGTGGCTGAAGGTCCGACAGAAGAAGGAGCAGTGCAGTGAGAGCAGGTTGGTATGGGCCCTCCATACTCCCCTTCCATCATTCCCCCTTTTCTCCCCACATCTTCCCTAATACCTCCATGCTGCTTCAAAGCTACCTGCTACTTGCACTAATGTGTGTATCACTTACTAAAAGAGTGTTGTTGTGCCAGGTGTTGCAGAAGATTGAACATTTAGACTTCTGTGTAGCTTGAGGTTTCCTTTCATCTTTTAGAGTTTGATGCTTGATCAACAACACACACCTTAATGACCACAAACGGCTTAATACAAGAAGCAGTTACTGTGTTGATCCTTGCATTAAATCTGAAGCAAAACAGAGCTTTTTAAAAGGTAAATTAAATGTAGCAGAATGTCGTCCATATTTTGTACTTGTATGGCTGGATTAACATTATCCTATATCTTATCTCCTGTTGTAACAGTTCAGCAGTGTCATTTTAGTAGCATGCATTCCCCTGTATCTTTATCCAGTCTGTGATGACTCTGCCGTTTTGTAGTCAGCGTAGGGTGACCAGGTTAACTTCACTGAAGCACTGGAATACAACCTTGTCGCAGAAAACCCCAAATGACACATGGCACCAGGTTTTTAAGAAAATCAAATGTAGCTCTTGTCCTAAGATTTAAAGACCAGCTTTCAGCACTGATTGATCAGCTCGTGACCCGAATTGGCCAATTTGCACAATATTGCAGGAGGTATAGTTTTATAAAAGACAAGGTTTCGGGTTGTAACCTAGTGTGTGAGTTGGTCTAGTTAGCTTTTTTACCAAGTAAGGTCCATTTGATAGATTTTGTAATTAATTTCATGGCAGCAGAATGTTTAAACACTAGTGATTGAAAGGAAAATTGAATAGTTACTTGAGATGAAAGGGAGCTGTCTAACAAGTGTGATCTGATCACGCCCCCACAATCCTGAGAAATGGTTTGAGCAGCCAAAGGAGCTGTTTTTTGAATTTTATTTCCCACTCAGTTTTTTGTGGATGCTTAACGAGACTGATATCATATATGCATTTTTACTTTTTCTAGCCAAGTTTCCAGTGGCTTCAAAGAAAAGTTTCGCATCTGTTTGTGTATGCCATCAGTTATAGTTGTTAGAAAGACAGAAAATAAGAATCGGACAAAATTAGAATCGGCAGGTTAGACTTTAAAAAAATCTGAGAAGTGGAATCAGCCAAGAAAATTGCAACTCTAGTTTTTAAATTAAAGCAGGCATCATGCGTGTGTTTTGATTGTTGGGCTCTACTCCTTTGTTCAAATATGGATCAGGGAGTGTGAGATCAACCCATGTGAGCACTGGGAAGGTTAGAGGGCGCTACTGAGGTTGAGGTTACAAAAGCAATGATTGTTACAATCCAATAATGGACTCATTAGAGTGGAGACCTCTGCCCAGCAGGGTTCATCAGAGTTAACAGGTTGCTTCCTCTCAGAATCATTAATATAAACACTAGATATTGTGTGGTTAAAACAAAGGGCTCAGGTGATACTGTAGGTCATCTGAAACTTTAAAGGTTGCCCTGACGGCAGTACTAGAGTGGAGGAAAGGTGGAGGGGTGGCAAAATCAATAGGTTTCTTCCTTATGGGTGCATGACTGTGAGATAAAGCGACACCTGAGATGCAGTATGTGATGGCGGCGCTAGAGGAAAGGTCATAGGGTCCAGACAGTAAATCGACCCCTTCAAAGTTAAAGTGTTTACCAGTTTATATGAAGTGACCGTCCTCCAGATGTGCAAATTGAAAGGTAGCAATTGATTAAAAATTAAGACAAAAGGTAATAGGAATAATTATGCAATGTTTTTACTTCAGTGTAATTAAAATCAGGGAAAGACCATGTGAGACGGATCAGAAGTACTTGTGTCTGGATATACTGTATAAACAAAAGACTTAGTCAAGCCCGAATTAATTTCAATCCGGAGAGACTTGAGAAAAGAATATTTATTTACATGTGTACACAAGTATGAGAAATGTGAAAAGTCTTTGGCTGAGGAGAGAGGGAGCTGAGGATCTGGATGTGCAGATGAGTAGGCTTTCGATGAGCTCGTCTTGGGCTCTGGATAAGGTGACTGGAGGTGAATGGGGTGGAGGAGGGTGTGACGATTCCGCCTAAACTGACAGCTGACAGGAGCAGAGAGGAGAACAGATTTGAAGTTTGGCAGCAGCAACATGAAGGAGATTTTTGTAGCGATTGTGGCCAAGGTTACTGCAACCTGCATGCTAACAAAGTGGCCAATTGTCACATTGTTCTAGGTGAATTGACAGGAAACTCATGTTTCAAAAAAAAGTCAGACTTATGTAGGAGAACAGAGAGGAGAACAGATTTAAAGTTTGGCAGCAGCAGTATGAATGGCTGAAGGAGAAGTTTGACTGGCTAACGGGGAGAGGGAATACCCATAGTCAGCTGATTGGTGGAAGTGGTGAGAGTGGGATAGAGAGAAAATTGTAACTCTGAGCTTCATTCGATTAAGTTTATTTGTGGTTTGATGAATTAACTTATGTGGAGGACTCCATAAAAAGTACAAAAACAGTTGATAAAACTTTTTTTGAGAGTAAATTTCTTTTTGATCATGGGCGCGTTTGTGTATGGGGATGAGTTAGGTCATGATTGTTATTTCTACAATCAGACTTTGGAGCCGTCCTTGGTACCACAAGTTAATGCACTGAGCTGAGAGCTGTCATTGTGTTGCACCATAATTTCTCTTCCATTTGCAGAATTCATAATTCACCAACAAGGGCTGCGCCTTGAAAGTTAGAGACTCGAATAATCGGTTTAAGACCCCTCAGTTAACTGAGATATCTTCAGACTGAGTAGTTGTCACCTCTGGGGAAGTTTCAGTTTTTTAGCTGCAGAGCGAGTGATCCTAACTTTCATGCTGTTCTTCAGTACATGGATCTGCAGACAAGGAGGCAGCTGCCTGGTGGCAAAGAGGCTTTGCCCAGTCAGACTCCTAGATAACGATTTTTAATCTTCTGTGTTCTGTGAAGATGTGGTGAATTCACAGCTTCCAGCAAGTTCACACAATACAGTCTCTGGCTTTTGTTTTGTATCTAGTGTGGGCAAAAACACAACAAAAAAAAAATTGTTGCACATTTCCAATCAGTTGTTAGCGGCGGTAGCTTGTTTACTATATTATGTGAATGTCACTGTCACACTGAACGCCCCCCTGAATCCTGTTCAAACTGCCAGACTCTGACATGATTCTGAGTCGGGTACACCAAACTTCTGCTTGCTTCATTGTACTCAGATTAGTCATTGGAACTGATGGTCCCACTTTTATCTTTCTTCTGACATGATGTCATCTTTTTACAATCTACAAGTGCCGTTTTCTGAGTTTAAAAATGTAATCTCTTTATGTTTGCTGTCTGTGCTTTATGCTCAGAGTTCTCATTGGTAACAGACGGCAGACAGGCACAACTTCATTACTCACTCCATCAATGTGTTATCTTCATTTAAGTGGGAAGACATCATCTCTCCAGAGGCATGAGTGCAGAGCCCCCAGCAGCATCACCGAGTGTGAAATACTGTCATTACCCAGCACATCATGAGTACAGCCCAGCTCCCCCTCGGGGTGTGATGTGGACTGTTCTAACAAGCCTTCCTCAGCTTAGTACCACGCGTGGCGTTAAGACGACATGGCTCCTCCTCAGGCTGCTGCTTGTTAATAGCTGCATGGAATATATACAAAAATCTGCAGGCTTAAAGCAGCGTGGGAGTGACATGAATAATCCAGATCTTAATGTTTATCTTCAATTAATTATTGATATAGTTTTTGTCGTGTTAAGTTGCAAAGACACACTGTAATACGCCATGTTCTCATAGATAGATAGTTTCTGTTGAGTCGGCACTGTGGCCCACATTAATTCATTAGTGCTGCCTTGTGGGCAGTTTTATGACAACCTAATATTTAATGGAAGACTGTTACAAAATAGCTCCACTGTAAAATATAAAAATAGCAGCTTTTGGTTGCCTTATTTAGTCGAGGTGTTTAATGAATGCGCATCGGCTCTGGTTTTACAGCTGCACAGTGTATGGAGCATGTAAGCAGGAGGATGCTCACTGATGATGTAGTACATGAGATTTAGCTCTTGTTCTGACATAAGCTGCATCTGCAGCAGTGCACAGCTGGAAGGTTTATTTGTGAAGCACTTCAACAGCAATTCAAAATGTTCATCCATAATACTAAATGCAAAATAAGGTAAAAATGGGATGAAAGAGATGGGGCTGGCCGGAATGCTTGGAAACTTTGATTTCTAGCAAGCTAATTGACGTCCAAATCAGTATTCAAATACTTTGTTTGAATGTGCATTAACCCAAAAATCTTAAATAGCCCATAAATTCAGAAATAAAGTTATGATATTACAATAATAATTACGGCTATTGTGGTACAATATGTTGTAGGAATATATTAATATATGATAGTATATGTATGTGACAATAATCATATGTGTATAATAACAGTAGAAGTATAACTAATAATAACAGCAACAGTAGGACGCATTAGGCAGGACCATGGCAGCAGCACAACCGCAAACATCACACCATCCAGGCACCGCTGCGATATAAGTTAACCTGCGAGACAGTGGAGCACAAAGGCTCCAGAGAAGAAGCAGAGTTAGTGACATGCAGTACAGCCAAGTTAGCCAGATGCATAAGTGTTAGCAAAGGAGAGAGAGAGAAAAGGAGAGAAGGTGCCCGGTGTATTATTGGAGGTCCCCCAGCAGACTAGGCCTAAGTCAGCCTAACTAGGGGCTGGTACAAGGCAAGCCTGAGCCAGCCCTAACTATAAGCTTTATCAAAAAGGAAAGTCTTAAGTCTAGTCTTAAATGCTGAGACAGTGTCTGCCTCCTGGACTGAAACAGGAGGATGATTCCACAGACAAGGACATTTAAATTTAGCGATAGCTTTGTGACTCTGACTCGCTCTCATCTAATGCCAGTTTCAAGCAGTCCAGCACTACTGACACTGGGACAGTTTGACCACACGTGATCCGCTAGCAAGATGCTGAAGAAATTGTGCCAG